TGTATGTTAATCAATGATATATCGAATATATTGCATTGTATAATTCACTTTAATTTGGATCATTACAAGCAAATGTAATTGTCGGCACACACAAAAAGAAAACTAACTCTACACAGAGTCTGGGGGGGAAGAAGGACAGAGGAGGCAGAACACACTTTTAATCCCCGAGAAATAGGCATCTGAGGGTTCTGAGTTTTTCAGGATTTATGAGTGAGTGGGGCTCAATATCAGACCCATCTCCCTCCCTCCCCTCTTTTGCTCTCCACCTCTCTGAAAGACACGCTCTGCCATCTCCACTTTGCTGTCTTTTAGAGTATGCTCCACCATCCATCTCCCTAGCTATCTAGCCCTTTCTTTCCCACCATCCCCTATCTTTTTCTCACAATGCATTTAAATGGGGTATTTAGAGATTCCGGCCTTTCTCATCTCTTCACACCTACTCTGAGGTAACCTCAATCCCTCAACAACCCTTTTGAAAAGGGAAAATGCCCCAATTGCTCCAGAAATAGGTCCCTGGAGATGCATGACAAACACATAAGGAAAAGGGGGTGATATTTATGACGAAAAAAAAAAAAGCTCTTGTCCCATTTCCAGTATATGTACCTGCTGCAGTATCTTCCTATACTTTTTTTTTTCTTCTCTCCACACAATGACCAGATGGTTTTCGTGATACTTGTTTATGACGCTGCACAGGGTTTAAATCTCAGTGTCGGAGCTGCACATGTTGTTGCCCCTGAGACCACAGCAAATGTGCCATCTGCTAATTTAAATGACAGTCTAAACGGAGCGGCGGCCACATTAACGTGATGTACCACTGGTCGTTTGCAATGTTTAGAATGTTTACATTAAAATCTATGACAGCGGCGTGGGTCATCATGGCCGGCGTATATTAAGGACGCACATAAAATAGTACGCGTTTTGTTTGTGAGCGCCAATCTGGGCCTGGTTTGTTGTTATGTGGAATTTTTATGATATTTTGCTTGATTTTTTTTCCAATTCTGGGTTGTGTATTTTCTGTGTAGTCAATATAACATTAACAATGGTTCAGTTTGCTGGTACAACCTGGATAAGTTCAATCATTTGTACTTCTTTAATATTCATATTTTATATTATATATTTTTTCTAATTCATTGTGGTTCTATTTTAGGTAATGTTGTATAAACAAGATGTTAGAGCCACTTTTGTGTGTGTTTATGTCATAGACTGTATAAAAGATGGACGTAGCTACCGCGACGTCACCCGTTGGTTTCTGCACTAAAGAAAATGAAGCCAGGGTTTTGCTACTTCCTGGTTGACATCTTGGATTTTTGGAGCCAGTGACGCAAAAACCGTCGGAGGGGGGCGGAGCCATAGGAGCAGCGATTGGTCAGACGGATTGAGAGGCGGGCCCTCTCTGCCCGCCCACATTTACCGCCTTCTGCTCCCTTCCTCTGTATGGTCGCAGCCGACTGTCAATCAAGCCAGCCACGCCCCTTGCCCCGCAAAATTATGATGATTTTTTAAAAATTCAGTATTGATTTATTTTCAGATTGACCACCTGATCTCTGGATTTGACCATGAAAACTAATAAGAAAAAATCGTGAGCTGGAGGAATGCAGTATTTCGTGATCTGTGATCACTTCTTTTCCAATTCAAGTCAATGGGAGCCAGGGCTTTTTGGAGCCAGGACTAGTGGACGTAGTGATATTGCAGGTTTTTGACACTTCCGGGTTGGTTTCATTTTTCAGGACCGGTTGCTACGTCCATCTTTTATACAGTCTATGGTTTATGTCTAGGTGTCTGTTGAGGTGTAGAGCTTATGTTATGACGGCCGGTGGTTTATTGGACAATGTGATACGTGAACAGTATAAACAGAGGAGGGGTAATTACTCTTCAGGTGTGCTGCTGACTGGGGGAGAAACACACAGTTTTTTGACCAGAGTTTTAGTGGCTGAATTCAAACCTTTTTTTTGTTAATTTTGCAAACAAGTACAAGTTGCCATTTCGTTGCCAGATTCACTGTTGTGTTTTTGTGCAATGACAATAAAGAACGTCTAAGTACAAGTTATTGGGACAAGCGTGTGCAGATCAATAAAGGCGATATTGGAAATACGCTGGAAATGTTTGGATATATCCTATAATGGAGGCTGCACAAACTACATCTGGACTGGAAGTTCCAGCAGCAGCCCCTCACTGGTTTAGGTTCGTTTTTGCTTTTGTAGAAATCAAGTCACTAGTGGAAACTACTTTTCAGTTTTTTTAATGTGATTAATGTCAAACAATATACTAACAGCACACGTAAATTTTTACCAGCTTGAAGATTTTCCTGATAAAGAGAGAAAAAAAAATCTAAATACAGGAAGAAATCTATAACCAAAGGGACAGGTGTAATAAATGAATGAATGAATAATTAATGACAAAATAAAATGAAATTAAACTAAATGAATACAGATAATAATATCATATAAGAATCCATGTTAAGCAATTTTAAGTTCGGGCCATTACTGTCTGAAAACCCCCCCAGCTCCTCTGCTAATACCGGTTAAGCACCCTTCCTTTATTCGCCTCCATAAAACATCTGAAACTCTCAGACGCCTCTTGACAGACGCCGCGTGAAATAAACTGATGTACAAGTGGATGAGACGGCTTCCGGCGACGGGGTTACAGCGAAAACGAAATTTACAAAATGTCGTGACATAGTTCCTGGAACGCTCACAGATTGATGATACCGGGCGTTAACAGTGTGGGTGGATTGTGTTTTCTTTTGAGTTGTGGGTTTATTAAAAACACAACAACTCTTCACATTACTGAATTGTCATTAGTACCGCATGTGTGTGTGTGTGTGTGTGTGAGTGCTTGATACACACCAGCTGTTTTATACCGCAAGTTTCTAATTATGAGAAATTGAAAACCTCTAAAAAAGTAACTTTTAAATAAAAAACAAACAAACAAGTGAATTCGGAGATGTTTACCGACAGTTTGCTGCTAAATCTCCTGAACAACGGCCCCTTGACGCGAGTCTTGTCTACATGTTTTTAAGACAGAGTAAACTGTTCGACCTTTCCACGACACCTGCAGTTAATTAGGCTCTAATGAAGTGCCCCTAAAAGCTTGACAATCTTTGGTGGAAAGCTCAAGACCGTCAGCAGTCGGCATGGCAGGAAAACGCAAACTAATGAAGAGGGAAAGACGAGCTTTAAACACAGACTGCTGCTAGTCGCTTAGACGGATGTTGTTGCTGTTTTTCCAGGCAAGCGGTTGACTTTGTTCGTTATTGTGGGAATATGTTATTGATAATGATAAAACAGCTGAATATACACTACAGAGCTCCACAGGATTTCAGTGAGAGATGCAAATTTGCATCAAACGAATTATGTTGTTCAGTTGATTATTGTTTTTTCATGGTTTGGTAATTGACATGGGCTTTTTGCACATGTCACAAAAAGCTAAACGACACGTAACTTCAACATCCGCAATAATTTTCTTTAACTTACAAGCTTTTCTTGAAGTAGAAATGCTTAAAACCACCTCTAAGTCCACTCTTCCTCTTGTTAATTGTCTCATTTCTTGCCTTTATTGTGCATGTGGACAGAAAACGTGTGACAACAGAGCAGAGGACGAACACGCAGCAACAAGCAACTGGCTGCTGAAGGCGTTTTACTGATGTGTCCAAACTACTCAAACATCTCGCTGCCCTGAACGTGACTCATTTAGTAATAAAAGTACGTCTGCACTGCCAGAAGTGAGTTATATGCATATTATGTATGATAATATGTAAACGTCCCGGGGATGTACAGATGCTATTGCTGTTTTCGGCTCTGTTGTTCAGTATTTTCCTGATTATTAAAATCCCTTCTTAGAATTTATCATTAAAATCAATATTTAATTTGAGGCAGCGGGGGGATAGCTGGATGAGAGCTATCTCACTGAGGGAATTTCTGTAATTGACACAGGTGGCCAATTAAAAAGACTGAAAATAGAAAACGCTTGAGAGAATCAAAACACTGATCAGGACGTTTCACAATAAAATACAGTCGTGACTCGATAATTCGACACTAAATGTAAAACCTTCTTTTATGTCGGATAGCGAGGCTGTCGGATTGTCAAGACGGAGGTGGAGATACAAGGAGGGCTTGATGCTGGAAGGCTCATTTGTTGTTAATTATTGTTCATAGCTGTTATAATAACTAGTAGGGCTGCTCCAAATAGCACTTTCTGGTCTCTGGATATTCAGGCCCAATTAATGATGAATATCTAAATATTCAGTGCGGTGGGTGGGGGGGACACTTCCACCCCGGGGTAGCGCTCCAACGGGGTGGAAGTGTCCGAAAAACACAGGCAGTACTTGGCTGCTGATGCTAGTTTAGGATAGCAGTCGCACTTCTGTTTCCACCATCGGTGGCAGCCGCCATCCGTGTTTACTTCCATAAACACTGAGCACGCTCACTGTGTGTGATGTCGTCGTGTCCTCTTCTGTGCATGCGGGACACTTTTGGGTTGTATGAAGTTCACACAGCAGATCACATACAAGCCGTATTTAACTCGCAAAAAAATTGAATTTCACAAAAAAATCCAAATTGAGCATTAAGTCCTGCAGTCTGAACGTAGCCAATCTGTCGGATTGTTAATTTAGATAATACAGTGTTATAAAATGTCATGTCGGAGTCGGAATCCAAGGCTGTCGGTATGTTAAGGCTGTTTTTCATTTGTTCTGTTTGTTTTTCCCACAAACCTGTCGGATAGCAAAGTTTTCAGATTGTTAAGGGTCGGATTATCACGACTGTTTTAATAAAAGTTAACAATAGTTCTCAAACAATTTATTCAGTACATTTTAGATTTCTATTTTTTAAAATATTTACAGTTATTCAACAATTACATCAAATACACACAAGACTTAGTTCAGCACCAAGGACAGCACTCTGACTCTCACATCAAAACCAAAGCCTGCTGATCTGTGACAAAGTGTTCAGTACGCACATGTATGCGTGTGTGTGTGTTCAGTGTGTATGTATATGTCTTACCTAGCCGAGGGTCAAACTGCCTCATCTGAACTTCTTCCACGCAGTCCGCAGGGAACCATCCTGTCCTCCCTTTCACCGTGCCTTCCCAGAAACCTCCTTCCCCTATGCTCAGCACTGACAGAGAGAGAAAGAATGGGGTCTAAATCAGTCAGATATTGTCATAAAACAAGCCGAGCTGTCATCACGGTGAGCTTGTGGAGTCTGCGGAGTCTTGGAAAAGAGAGCAGAAAGGACAAAGGGCCATATAGCACAGTGAGGTATTTAGGGTTTTATGTTCTCGGGTTATAAATTATACAGTGAAGTGTGCATAGAGGGAGAAGCGAGAAAGGGCGAGAGCAAAAGATTACAAACGCACACAGAAAGCACACTGATACAAAGGTGGAGGAATTGCATTATGAAAATATTGGTCTGTAACTAATGTACCATACCGAGGTGTTTGGGCAGACACATTTTTATTCACTTCATATCAATAAATGATTGTAAAATTTGAAATAAAAAATCGGAGAAAGACACACAGATTTAAAAGTAGAGGGAAAAAAGTCAGTGGGCGATAATGACAGAATGAAATAAAACACTGAGGAGAGCTGGTGAACGAGAGCAAGAGGGCAGGAAGGAGAAAGAGAGAGATCCCTCCTAAGTTCCGCTGTGGTAATTAGAGATGAATGTATAGTTGATATTGATCTACCCTGCAGGACTGAGCCAGCACGCTCATTTCTACAACACTCATCTATTATCCCAGCCAGCTAACACACACCGAAACAACACACACACACACACACACACGGACGCGGACACACACTCACACTCCTCAGAGATCACCAGCTGGAACTGAAGCTTTGCCTGAGCGAGCCCTTCTTCTAAACCGGTTGCTAGGAGACGCCGGTATGATGTTGCAGCCGGCAGACAGCCTGCTAAATGATGTAGTCTACTTCCTCCAAACTATATTCCACTCTGGCATGGGGACGTGTCACAGTGTAACCTGGGGCACTATGAGAAGCAGCCAACTGGACTTCATCTGAAGTGACGCGATAGTAAAACGCTCCAATATCGGCCATTCACGGGATTCCTCGCTGGGTTGCGTAACAAATACATAATTTCTCAAGGAATTACTGCTGCACCGGGCCCAACTTCAAGGCCTTTCTACATCCTGTTCAGAGGACATACGTGTTAAGTAGCCGAGCATGGGCATATTTTGTCTCCAATGGTTGCTTTCTCCTGGCATATTTGTGTAATTAATGCCAAACAGAACACTTATTGGTTTGCATAAATAAAACAGAAAAGAACTATCGCCGCTGCATAAACAATTTACTACAAAGGTCAGCCTAAGTACACAGTATTTCTTCTTCATCTGGATATTAACCCGGCCGACCACGCCACAGCTTCCCTCTGCCGGGATGAACACAGAAGTGGTGTGTGTGAGAGGGAAGGAGAACGGCAGTTTATCGACTCCCCGCTGCAAAAAAACATGACACTCAGCACACAGAGGATACATGGACTGATCCCCCTCTCTGATCTCAGCTTAACACAACTTTACCGTGCCTGTCTCCTGAGAGCAGACTCCCTCTGTCTCTTTTATTCCATGTTTAAACGCTTTATTCTCTCTCTGCTCGGCGAGTTCGTTCGTTCCAGGTCTCCTCCTCTTGTGTTTCTGAATGATTTCCCGGTCATCGTCTCCATCCCCTCCTCTTTGTCTCTGTCAGCGTGTCCGTCTATACAGTAATGGTGTCCCTGCAGTAGACAGGTGCTGGCTGTGCTCTCTGTTCCCTCCATTGACAGAAATGAAAGAAAAGGTGAGACCTCTGATTGATCTTCTAGGCTGCCCTCGCTTACTTCTCTCACTCCCTTATCCCCGACTACTAATCTATTGCTGGTCCCTGACACCGACACCTGACAGCGTGTGCAGAATCGGAGAAAAAATCCACAAATTTATATATCTCTGCACACCTGTGTGTTCCACGTGCTGTTGTTATTCCACATATATACAGACATCCTCTTTAATTAACTCTAATCACACCGCAGGCACGCTGAAATCTGGAATCAAGCCAACTGATTGCTTGTCAGTGAAATCAAGAAAGGGCCTGTGAAACACACACACACACACGCACACACACACACACACACACACAC